CTCACGGTCTCTCTTGCCCGGGCTGGCTTTGAACCGCGATCCTCAGATCTCAGCCTCCTGAGTAGCTAGGATTACAGGCGTGAGCCACCAGCGCCCAGCTGTTGCTAATATTCTTGATGCAAGGCAGTGTTACTGGATGGAATGCCAGTGTTGTTTTGATTACATTTCCTTTATGGCCAGGGATGTTGAATATTTCGTCATGTGTTTGTGGTGTATCTTTACTACTTCTTCTGAGAAGTTTCTGTTTTGCTCCTTTGCCCATTTATTAATCAGGTTCTTGATTCCTTGGGGAATTAATTTTTTTGAGCTCTTCATATATTCTCTTGGGCCTTAGTCAGATATATAGCTGGCAAAGATCTTCTCCCCTTCTGTAGGCTGTCTTTTTAACATAGAGAAAATCGTCCAAAAATGTATATAGAAGCACAAAAGGTCACAAATAGCCAAAGCAATCCTAGGCAAAACAAGAAATGCTGAAGGTATCACAATTCCAGACCTCAAACTTCACTACAGAGCCATAGTGACAAAAAGCAGTATGATATTGGCACAAGAAACAAGGCTGAAGACCAATGGGCCAGGCTAGAACACCCAGAAATAAACCCACATACCTACCTCTGATATGTAACAAGGGAGCCAGAAATGTATGTTGGAAAAAAGACAGCTTCTTCAACAAATGGTGTTGAGGAAACTAGCCATCCAGATGCAGAAGACTGAAACTGGACTCCTGTCCCTCACCTTGTTCTACTGCCAATACTACCAATTCAAAATGGACCCAACGCCTCAAGGTCAGACCTGAAACCTGGGAATGACTACAGGAAGGGCGGTGGGGAGAAGCACTGGAGCTGTTAGGTACAGGAGGGAATTCCTGAGGACAGATCTAGGGGCTCTGCAAATGTTGGCAAATGAGACCGCACCAGACTAAAAATGTTCTGCACAGTGAAGAACATGTTACAAAGCTAAAAACAAACAAACAAAAAACCTTCTTAAAAACAATCCATTCTTGAGGGGCCAGGCAGAGCCGCTCTTCCCTCCCGTCGGGTAGGCGCACATTGCGCGTGGCTGTGTCCACTGCTGTGCCTGCTTCTCAGAAGTTGTGCACAGTGCACATATTCATGCATGCAAGACACTGGCCACGGTGTCCACATACAGCCATGCATACACAGAGGTGTGTGCAGCTCACACCCCCACGTGACCTATGCCCTGCCCACACTCCGGTGCGCGCAGTGAGCATCGTAAGACCTGCCTGGCCTTTGCCTTTACACCACTTACAGCCCCCCTGCGGGAGCGGGGCCACGTGGGATCACGTGGATGGTGGGGCGGGGTGGGGCTGGGTGGTAATCCCAAAGCAGGGCTGGCTGCGGGGGGCTTGGTGGTTGTGTAAGGCAGGCCCTCTTTGCTTGTAGAGTGCAGGTGGTGGCAGCCCTGCTGCTGGCATCCTTGGAGCCTCTCAAGCCGCCTTCTAGCCGCAGCTCAGGAAGTGGTGGGCTTCGAGGCCCGCTCAGTGTGGGGCTGCTGTGGACATGGCCGGCCCCAGGGTGGCTTTGCCTGCCTGATGTGTTGTGTGTTCCGCAGATCGACCGGCTCATTAACCACGGGGCAGATGTCCTGACGCCTGTGACGCTCACCCAGGGTGACAAGGTGGCTGTGGGCACCGTGGTGGACTACGGTTACTTCAGATTCTACCAGGTATGACTTTGTTCGGAGCCCGGCCCTCTGGTTCTTGCCCCTGGGCAGATCCAGGCTCTCTGGAGCCAACCTGAGTGCTCAGGGCAGGAGCCCCGCCCTGGGAGCGTGTGCCCTGGTGGGGTGTGGGCTGAAGATGGCCACTCTGTCGTGTGGGTTGGGGATGGTCCTCTGTCCCCTCGAGCTGCCCCTGGCCGGGCTGCCCCATCAGGACCCACGCTGTACCGTAGGATCGGAAGATCGCCCACTGCCCCTTCCATGCATTGCTGCCTGCAGAACGGGAGACGTTTCTGGCCCGGAAGAGGCTGCTGGAGTACATGGGCCTGCAGCTGCGGCAGGCGGTACTCGCCAAGGAGAGCCAGTGGGACGCCAGGGAGCTGTACCTGAGCAAGAGGGGTGAGTGCAGGGATCAGAGAGGACACAGCACGCCATCTCACACACGGACACACAGCAGCCCGTCTCACACACAGCACCCCATCCCACACACAGCACCCCATCCAAAACACAGCACCCCATCCCACACACAGCACCCCATCCTACACACAGCACCCCGTCCCACACACAGACACACAGCACCCCATCCTACACACAGCACCCCATCCCACACACAGCACCCCGTCCCACACACAGCGCCTCATCCCACACACAGCACCCCATCCTACACATAGCACCCCATCCCACACACAGCACCCCATCCCACACACAGCACCCCATCCCACACACAGCACCCCATCCCACACACAGCAGCCCGTCCCATAAGCACTCGCACACCAGCCTGTCCCATCTATCCTCCCCACCCTCCGGTCTCTCCTTAGTCCCCTCTGCAAGTGGCCTGCCCTCTGTGAATGTCCACGTCACTCTTGGCCCAGTGCTGCATATTAGGTGTTATAAACCATTGGAGACACAGTGGCAGACATGAAAACAATTGTCTCAGCAAGACAAAGTTTGCTTCTTGGAGGGGTGCACCATCAGCCAAAAGTCTGACAAGCAAGCTCAGAGAGCAGGCAGGCTGCTCCCCATTCATCCGGACCCAGCAGGCCCCGCCCCTGCTCTGAGCACTTCAACTCAGGTTCCCAGTAAAATATACTTACATACAGAGATATTGAAATAAGATTAACAGCACACAAGTAATCTCAAAACATACCCTGCACCTTCTGCTGTTCCTTGAACAACCTCAGGTGCATCTCAATTCTATCTTGAAAAGACAAAGATCTTTTGCATTTCAAAAGATGCTTCCTATCCCAAAGGGGTTCCTCTTGTCCTTGACAAGACCCAAAGCACCTGGCCAAAGCAGGAGCTTTTAAGCAACACACTTGGAAAGAAAAGACAGTTTTTGTCACACAGTCCACCCACAGGTGTCCACGTGCCACCACCGCAACCCAGGTGCCAGCTGCCCAAACCACACGTGGGTCCCCCCCCCCAGGAATCCCACAGTACACAGATTCCAGGCTGCGTGAGTCCCTTCCACCCAGCCATCCATATGCAACCCCCACACCCCACTGCTGCCCCCCACACCCACCCTCATACATGCCAACCTGTGCAGCCAGCCCACCCACCCACCCATCCTCCACCACATCCCTACACATAACAGCCCCCATGTCTTTCATACATGCAAAACCCTAGCCACAGCCACACATGTGACCGTACACAGCCACACATGTGTTCACAGTGCACACACATACATCTACATGATTGCCTGTGTACTGGTACATGCTCATACATGTACTCCCTTACACAATCACAGGTATCTAGCCAACCCCTCCCACATCTGCACATAATAATCCACACATCATCTACAGCAACACCCCCGCTCCAAACCTTGCCTTCTAACAGTGCATTCTAACAGTTCTCAATCATGCTCATGGCCCCCGGCCTGCTCTACAAAATCCTTACCCACCACATGCCGCCCTCCCTCCCACGCACACTACCTACAACCCATTGCCCACAGTGGCCCCCATGCACTCCCCACCGTCCACACGTTTCCTGTATGGGATGGAGTCATGGCGGATACACGGGGCCAGTCAGAAAGCAGGGCTCCATGTGGAGGAGGCCAGGTGCAAACGTGGGGGCGTCCTGTTCCATGGAGTGCGGGTTCTAAACACAGCATGGGCAGGGGGCACTGTGGTGTGAGTGTGTGGAGGGGGACACGGGGGCGTGGGTGTGGGATGGAGACTCCGGGGTGTGGGTGTGGGATGGAGACTCTGGGGTGTGGGATGGAGACTCCGGGGTGTGGGTGTGGGATGGAGACTCTGGGGTGTGGGATGGAGACTCTGGGGTGTGGGATGGGGACTCTGGGGTGTAGGATGGAGACTCTGGGGTGTGGGATGGGGACTCTGGGGTGTGGGATGGAGACTCTGGGGTGTGGGTGTGGGATGGAGACTCTGGGGTGTGGGATGGAGACTCTGGGGCATGGGTGTGGGATGGAGACTCTGGGGTGTGGGATGGGGATTCTGGGGTGGGGATGGGGACTCTGGGGTGTGGGATGGGGACTCTGGGGTGTGAGATGGAGACTCTGGGGTGTGGGATGGGGACTCTGGGGTGTGGGATGGAGACTCTGGGGTGGGGATGGGGATTCTGGGGTGTGGGATGGGGACACTGGTGTGGGATGGAGACTCTGGGGTGTGGGATGGGGACACTGGTGTGGGATGGAGACTCTGGGGTGTGGGATGGGGACACTGGGGTGTGGGATGGGGATTCTGGGGTGTGGGATGGAGACTCTGGGGTGTGGGATGGGGATTCTGGGGTGTGGGATGGAGACTCTAGGGTGGGGATGGGGACTCTGGGGTGTGGGATGGGGACTCTGGAGTGGGGATGGGGATTCTGGGGTGTGGGATGGGGACACTGGGGTGTGGGATGGGGATTCTGGGGTGTGGGGGGGGATGGAGACTGCTGGTTTCCCGTCTCCAGTTTTGCCACCTTCAACCAGTGTCTGCAGTAGCCCCCAGTGAAAGGTGCCTCAGGACTGGGACTTCTCTGCTGCTGAACTACAGGGTTCTCATCCTGGGGTTCTCCAGCCAGAGCCAGTGGAGGTCAATAGGAGAAGTCTAAGAGCCATGTGGGAGAGGAGGGTGGACCACCCTGGCAGCTGCTGGAGAGTCTTCCCTGTTTGGGTTCAGTGATTTCCCTGGGCAGTCTTTAGGACTAAGGATGCCCTGAGCACTGTTGACACCTTAAACAAGGGCCAGCATGGGGGATGCACTGGTGTGGTCAGCGAGGGCGAGGTCAGCAGGGGCCTTCTCCAGCTGCTGCCACGCCAGGCGCAGGTGGGCTCCCAGGCTGTCCTTCACAGTGTAGAGCCACAGCGGTTTGCTGCTGGACAGAGGCCACACAGACTGTCCCTGAGCAAGCACTCAGCCGGCCGCCTGGGGAGCGGGAACAACTGGCCTGGCTTCCTGGCCTCCACTTGGAGAGGGGCTGTGAGCCCAGCAGGGCAGCCTGGTACCTTCTCTGTGTGTGTGCCAGTACTTGGACTTGAATTCAGGGCTTGGGCATGGTCCTGAGCTTTTTTTGCTCAAAGCTGGTGCTTTACCATTTGAACCGCATTTTCACTTCCAGCCTTTTGCTGGTTAATGGGAGATGAAAGTCCTATAGGTTTTCCTGTGGAGGAGGTTGGCTTCAAACCGCAGTCCTCATGTGCCAGGCTTACAAGTGTGAAATACTGGTGGCCAGCTGGTGGCCTTGTGAAGGGGGCATGCATTGGAGGTGGCACAGGGGGCTGCAGGGCCACTCCGCTCCTGCAGCAGGACCTGGAAAGCCTGATGGCCCCAGGCCGGGCGCTGACTGGAGCCTCTCTCTGCCGCAGCGGAGATGGGCCCCATCCACAGGCTGAAGAAGAAGAGCAGCAGCCCGTCCAAGGCTGTGGAGAAAAAGGAATCGTGAGTGTGGGG